TAAACATATTTCTGTGTGCATTTGTGCCCGTTGAGGAAGGATGGGCAGCCTGAAGTTGCTGGACTGGGAATTCTTGGAAGAGGGTGGTATGGCCTCTCCAAAGATGGAAAAGACTAAGAAAAAAAGGAAGCCTCCCCATCAACTTCAGAAATTTATCTGACTTTTGGTTTTAATTTCCCTGTTTTAGTTCCTTTTATAAAACAATTGTCTTTTCTTAGAGTAGCATTCCAGTTTTCAATAGCAAGGAGACCCGTGTTCGGCTAGGATCAGGTTTCCAGGGCCCCATTTTAGAAGCAAGAATAGCTCAAATCATGCCGAGCTTAAGAGCATTCCATGACAAGCGACAGAAGCTTTACAAACTATGGTCAGAAGGCACATTTCATGACCTTTAGCCTAAGAAACATTAGGTGGCTTGCTGCTTTGTCCCCAGAGGAGTGGCACATAGGAAAAATCAAAAGTAGTAGTGGCAAGAGTGTTAGGTACTGTGGTGGAAATCCTGCAGTTTCAAATGTGTCTCCAAAAAGAAGAAAGGAAACCTCCAGAAGATCCTTTCACCAGTGGTTCCCACAGAAGCTTCCTCCCTCTCTTGGGACGTCTTGAGGGTCTTTCAGATAGGCTGCCCCAAGTATATTAGAAGATATTGGACCTGGAGTGTTTGGAATCACAGATGTATGACCCTTCTTTTCAAGAAGATTGCTATGGAACCTTATTTCACCATTCTCACCCAGGACCTGGTAATGTAACAGAAGTTTGCAAGACATTGACTCATTTTCATGAGGTGTTAGAGTAGAGGAAAACCAATAAATGACAGACATTTTTTGTGTACTTGCAATTTTTAATAAAGTGTTTTATGTGATTCAAGTTTTTAAATAAGTGTCCATTAAGATATATATTGCCAATCTTAAATGCATAAATAAAAAAGAAGAAAAACAACCAAGAATCTTTTGAATATTTTTCATAACACATACATGCTCTTGCAGTATAATTTCTTCAGATTATGGAGATAAACAACTTATATAAAAAAATGAATATGTGGGCCAGGCCACAGTGGCTCACGCCTGTAGTCCTAGCACTCTGCGAGGCCGAGGCCGAGGAGTTTGAGGTTGCAGTGAGCTATGATGACGCTACTGCATTCTAGCCAGGGTGAAAGAGCAAGCAAGACTCTGCCTCAAAAAAAAAAAAAAAATGTGGTTCTTTGTATACAAAGATGGAAGTACTGACTTTTGACTTTTTTTTTTTTTCAGTAAAAGGCACACTGGCTGGCAAGCAGGGAGGTTCTACCAAGGGCCAAAGAGCAGAGAGATGCACACTGGCCCTCTGGGGAATCAAACCCATGCCCTTGGCACTGTGTTTATGGTACTCCTACCAACTGAGCTAACTGGCTCTAACCTTGCCATTTAGCATCTCAGGTCTGTTAAGCACGATTGCTCACAAACACAGCCTCCTTCAGGTCCTCACTGAATAAGGTTTGTTCCCAGCTAAAAAAACTCTCTGGAAGGAATGGGAATGGATTTTAATTTTTTTTTAAGCATTGAATATCCCTGTTTTTTTTTTTTTTCTGGAAGTTTCTTAAGCTTAAAATCCATGATTTCATCCCGTGAGGTGGTCCACTGGGTGATCTCCGCTCAGGCGGTCACTGGCTACTCTTAGGCTATGACTGGGTTCCATTTCTTTTTATAAAGCCCATGTTATTTCTGTTTGGAGGGCTTGAGGGCTGAAAGGGGGAAGGGGGGACTGAATAGCTCAGGGGCCTAGCTAATGTCATCTGATCTCTCTTACCCTGAAGCTTTTTTGAATTTGGCTCCTCTTCACACAGTCTCAAAATATGCACTGGCCCTTCAACAATCATTGACAAGTGGGCTCTGGAGTCAGACTGCCCGAGTTGGAAGCCAGGCTCCTCCAATTACTAGCTGTGAGGCTTTAGGCAAGTTACTTCATCTCTCTGTGCCTCAGTTTCCTTGACTATGCAATGGGGATAATAATTTAAAATCTGGAAGAATTTTTGAGAAAATTAAATGAGATAATATATGTGAAGCACTTAGTCTGCTGCATACAGTAAGCACTCAATAAATTTTAACTCTTAAAAAATACTAACGATCTTCAGTTCCAAAGAGCTCAAGGTTTTAAGATAACAGAATGGATCAGAAGAGAAAGGGATGGAATACACATGAGACATATAATGTTGGCAGAGAGACCATTTTTGGGTAAAACACAATCTGACAAGTTACCGGACCCTGGACAGACAAGGGTTATTTTTCTGCAGTTTGAGGTTAGGAAAGAAAGAAACAAAAAAAAGAACATGTTGGAAGGGAGGAGGGGAGGTGATGGCTGTGGGGTGAAGGGAAAAGAAGACCTGAGGTTACAAAACAAGTGCCCTATTTCAAGGTTGTGCTCAAGGCTGAGCCTCATGCCTGAGGGCCATCTATTTGTCTTCTGGTCTGCTAGAGGGGCTGACCTTCCCCAAGCCGGCCACAAAAAAACCCATAATGCCAGCTTAGAAGCCAGTCTCTTCCATGTCTACTTTTTCCTTGAAAATAATAACTTTAAAAATGTATACGTTCTCTGTCAAGTTCTGGTCAAACAGTCAGCTTCCCCTCCCCCCACCCAGGGGGGTCCCACCCAGCGAAGTGGCTAATCCCTATGGAGTCTTGAAGCCGCTAGCCTCCCACGGAGCCTTGCAACTAGAGAGCCCAATGATCTAGCCTGGATTCTTTTGCCCGGTCTGGACTTGCCCCTTAGACAGGCTAAAACGGTCTTTGCCATCGGGGGCCACGGGGCATTTCCCCACACCCTACATTCAGCAAACCGCATTGTTTAAAAAAAAAAAAAAGTCTTAACTTATGAACACTTCTTCCCTTTAGCAAAGATTGTCTTCGGAGTTCCTTTAAATGTTGTATTTCTTCACTCTGTGACTTATTTCTAAAAACTTAATGTGTATATAAAAGTGTAACTGTGTATTAACTAGTTCACCTGCCCTTCTCTAGTTCTGAAATGTTAATTTCAGACTCACATTTAGAAAGCTCCAGAGCGTTTTACTGATCATCCAGGAATTCTTAAACTGTGTTTTAAAAGGGCAAGGTTTTGTGTAGTGGAGTTGTCAAGATTTGAATGATTGGAAAATGTAATTTCTGTAGTGGTGTATATCACATTTGAATTAACGAGAAAATTCGATCCAGAACACCCGGGTTTGTTTTTCGGGGGAGGTGGTGGTTGCTTTTCTCCGCACCCGTTAACAGAGAATTTTCTTTCTTTAGCGAGACCCGGTTCCTCAGACAGGCTGTTGCCAGTACACAGCTCACCGAGGCTCGGAGGTTAAGGAATGTAAAGAGGTCAAACTTTGGCCTGGAAACAGACACGAAATAAACAAAATCCACCAACATATAAAGAAAATAATCACAGAAATTAGAAGAGTAGGTCAGAAATGGTGAGCTTGAGGTCAGTGGGAAGAATTATTCGTATTAATCTTCTTAGAGGAGGTAGGGAATTCCTAATTTAAAAAGAAAGAAAGAAACAGGAAAGAAATCCCCCCACGTCGCGTTCCGACCCCGGAGTTCGGGCGCGCGGAACGCATTCTGCGAGTTCCAGGGAAAGTAAGCAGCTTCGGGACATTTTCTAAAGTGCTCTTTGCAGTGCAAGAACTTAGAATGCGGTTAGTTTTACGCACCAACTCCCTTTCCCATAAATGCTTTAAGGGGCGCCTTTCTTCTCAAGATTGAATCACGTTTGTCAGATTATTTTAAACCTTGTGTCAGACCCCCTGCGCTTTGGGGGAAACCCGAGGCGAACAACCTGGGCGCCCGGAAACGTTTTGCAATGAATGAGCAAATGAATGAAACCCGGCCGGAACGCTGGAGACTGGGAAGGACGCAGGAACTTTCTCTGCGGGCTGCGAATCCGGCGTCTGCAAACTTAGGACCCAGGGCAGACAGGGCTTCAGCGACTCAGTCTCTCTTAACACCAAGCACCTGAGAACAGGTGCGGTTCCGAGTGAGCGGCCAGGGCCCGGCACTAACTAGCCCGGGGCCAGAAGAGATGCCGCCCGTCTGGAGGGGACTTTGCAGCGGCTCTACCCCTTCTGCACTGCCCTCGGCTAGTGGCTTCTTCGAAGGGCCGAGCTGTAGCAGCCCTGGGGCGCACTCGCTGCCCTCCTCCGCCTGCACAGGGGCTCGCCTAGGTCTGATCCCTTAACCCGGTGGAAAGTCATTTCCTTCTCTAACTTGGTGAGTCTTTGCAATAAATGGAGCGATAAAATCAGAGGAGCAGAAAGAGAAAACAGACAACTAGAAAAGTCACAAGTGTTTCTTGGGGAGACTAGGGCGCGGGCTGTTTGGACTGTGGCAGAGCTGTGGGGCCCAGACTGGGAGCGGCGCTGAGCGGGACCGGTTTTCCGGGGCTGGCAGCTGCCTCGAAAAAGTTTCCTGTGGAACACTCGCCAGCGGGGGCGGGGGCGGCGGGCGCAGCAGTGGACGTGGGACGGGACGGGAGGGCGGGGGAGGCTGCGAAGGGCCTGCTTGCAAACCGTTATAGTCCTTCAGCACCTCCCACGCCCGTGGCCCCCCTGGCCTGCCTCCCCGCCGCGCGGCTGCCCACCTGGCGACGTGACGCTGCACCAATCCCTTTCTAGCAGCGCCCGGGGGCCCCCTCTCCTTGCACCGCCCCCCTCCCCACCCTGAAAGAGGCGCACCCTGTCGGGACAGACGCTGCGCTCTCGCCGCGGAGCACCCCTCCAGCTTATTCGTCTCCGGGACAGACGCTCAGGCTCCTCTCGAGCCCTAGCCCAACTTGCTTTCCCGCCTCGCAAACTCCGGCTTCCCTCCACTCCCAGCTCTTTTCCCTCCACTTTCCCCTTCTCTGTCTCCCACGCTCAACCCCCAATCCCCCACTCCTTTCTCCCGCCCTCTCCCTTCCCTTTCCCCCCCCCTTCCACTCCTAGTCAGTTCCCACCTCGGACTCCCGGTTCGCGCCCAACTGGGTCGCCCGCTCCCGTTCGGCTTGAAGCCATGGCGGGACCTGGGGGCTGGAGGGACAAGGAGGTCACGGATCTGGGACACTTGCCGGTGAGTAGAGGACGCCCACCGTCCCCAGGTGATCTCTTTTTGCGGGATCTGAGCGCTGGGGGAGGGAGCGGACCCCCTCCAGCCGGGTTAGACCAGGACTTCGACGGGTCCGCGGACGCGGAGGGGACCCTGGGAGTCAGCACGCGGAAAAGGCGCCTCCTGGGCTGGGCGGGGCGGGGGGGCCGCGCCAAACTCCTCGGAAAGGCAAAGGCACGGGGTGCCCGGGGAGAGAAGAGGTGGCAGGGGGGTCCTTGCGGGCCCTAAACAGCGGGACATTTTCTAAATGTGGCCCGCTTTGTCTAGCGGCTCTCTGGTACCTGTCCTAGCCCAGCTCCAGGAGAGGCCAAAAACTGCGACGTCGCGTGCCTTCCTGAGAGCACTGCTCCCTGTTACCCCGCCACTCCGTCGTTTGCTTCTTCTCTTGCCAGCGGAGATGCCTACTTATAGGGTGACCTTTACTTTTAGGTGACGACAGGCTAGAAAATTAAACCGTGGGACTTTCACTTCTCTCACTTTCTAATAGCACTTTCTAAAACCTTCTTACTCTTGCCAGGGCAATGTCCTCGATTAAGTGTTGCAGAAGTGAAAGAACTCGACGCCTTTTGGGGGGGAAGTGAATGCTGCACACCCCAATTTTTTTTAAAAAAATGTATTGTGCTCCCTGGCTAACCAGATTTATCTTTTCCTTGTGGTTTTCGTTTGTGAGTTCTCTTTTCCCAAATGCCCAGCTTTCCTCCAGAGTTGTAATTGATTGGCGAGCTATTATCGCCGTCGTTATTAGTAGACTTATTATTTTAGCAGCGCCGTTTATTTCATTGGCATCTGGTTTCGGGCTGATATTGGATCTCACCCAAATCCGTGTTTCAAGTTCCCTTTTTAGATTGGCATTTCACTCGCACCCTCTCTTGAATGCAAAAGGCCCCTGGACTCTGCGACAGGGAATAAGCAGGAACGGTGCTGGAATGGTCGCCAGGCGACTGTAGTTCAGGGCAGTGGCCTGCTTGCTTTGGGAAAAGCTAAATATTAACCTTGAGGTTATAGGACTCTTCAAAGTCGCACTGACTTAATTTTATACATATTTGGCATTTAAAGATTGTGTTTTTAATGACGACAGACGCCTGCCTTCCTAAAAAATGGGCCATTCCCAAAGCCTCACCTATATAATCTTACACTAGAATGGTGTACGTGGGGAGGGGAGATGATGCCCACGGGTAACAATTTAGCCAATTGTTCTTTGCCATTGTAAATCCACAACACAAACGTGGTGAGTTACAAATATTAGCATTGTGATTATCTGTGCAGCTTCATCAAATAAAGTCACAGAACTTGTAAAAATTAATTCTTTTTCCACCCCGCCTGCACCCAAAATTTCTTCTTTGCAGTGTGCATACATGAGATTTCTGGAACATGGAGGCCTCAATTGGTGGTTTCCTTTCTGAACAGAACTTTTATATTCAGACTAGATTTACTCCCAAGTAAAAGTGTAAGATCAAGGAATGAAATGTTACCGCCCTCCAACATTCTCTGTATGGTGGTGGGGGGGAGGTGGAGAAAAAAAGCAAACTAGGGCAGATATGTGAAACCACACATGGGCAAACTGAAATAAACTCTTCTAAAAATGACTAAAGAGAGGAATGGGAAAGACCTCATAGAAATGATAGGGCAGGGAATTCCAAACTCAAGGAGAAAAAGAAAAGGTTTTATTGCCACAGAAAAATGGGGGGAAATGGCCCAGACTAACTGACCTGGTCATGGCCCTGGGACATAAGAATTTGGTGTTTGGTGGAGCCCAGGAGATAAGAGGAAAGGCTGCAATCTTTACTTGGCAGTTCAGTGGAATATTAGTGTTCTGGAGGGTGGGGGTGCATGTGGAGAGGGTAGAAAGATAAGGTTGGTTTTTAATGTAGGGAGAATAGGGAAAAGATACAAACCTCAGGGCACTGATGCTTCATCTCATTTTACAGATTTCATGAAAGTCTCATAAAGTCCTCAGCTTCTAACAATTTCTAAGTTTTATACGTGAGCCATTTTGTCTCACGTGGAGGTCTTCATTATCTGAGCAAATTATGCAGAATTCTCCCCTCTTCCCTAGAAGGGAAGCCACCCAGAGCCGAACCCTAAGAAATCTGGCAGAAGAGCAGCACACCCTTTAGAATTTCCTTTCCTATCAAATTTTTAGGGGTGGGAAAGTCGTTGTTGCTTTGGTCACTGAGTTATATTTCAGTGATTTGGGATTTCTTTATATTCAACTTATTTCCTGACCTTTTGAAGAAGTAAAAGCAAATGAAGAGGTGAAGAGACACCTAAGTCAGCTGTGTTGAACTTTACATTTTGATGCAAAGTAGAGTTGATAAAGCAAGCAAAGAAATCTGCATATAATGGTATCCCTTGCAATAATTATCCTCCCTATGACATATGCAAAGTTCAGAAAATTGGCATCCATCAACACCAAGTGTACCAATTTGACAACAGCCAGACAATGAGGGGAGATTCAAACCTTGGAGTTTCAAATTGAGCAAAAAGAATCTTGCAGAATATAGAAGAATAATTAAAATATGGGACTAATTTAAGGTGCATAAAGTATGTTCTTTGTAGGCCTGGCCAAGCTAAATGACCGCAAGACAAAGACCCTTGACAGAGGACAAGGCTTGCTGTGCAAATTGGGATTTAAAGACAGTGGCAGAACGTTATTAGATATTTTTGTTACTAGATAAATATTATTTTTAAACCTAAAATAGTAAGCAGGAGTGAAAGCAGGGGAAGCAGGAAAGGGGGAGAAAATTATATAACTTTTAAAATTAAAAAACTTAACTTTTGTATAATTATATAACTTTTTTTTTTTTTTTTTTTTGCGTAATGGCCTAAAGTTCGAGACAAAAGAGAACCAATATAATTACCAGGGAACAATAGGCCAACTCCATTATGTTTGTTAATTAGTGGGTTAAGGTAATTTTGTCTGATTTTCTATTGAATAAATATTTTCTATAGGTGATAAATCAAAAAAGAAAGTGCAGAAATTTGTGGTTTGTGCTTCCTTTCTGAAAAGAGAACTACGAAGCCTTATGTCTTTATATATATCCTTATAATATGAATGTATATGCCCACCAGCAATACCTGGGGGTGTGTCTATATATATATTAACATATTTCTTTTTCCTAGTATGCCTGCGTCCTCGAGACTGGAAACTATTTCTTCATCTCCAAATCTGGCATGTCTTTCACTATGATTGTCCCCTTTGCCTTCTGTGCCCAGTATGGTAATGACATTCCTCACGGCTGTGGCCTTGGTATTTTGACACTGCCATGTGTAGTCCTAATCTATATTGGGGTCAGGATTAGACAGGCCTTGAGGACAGTAGTGGCAGAGGTGATCTGAAATAGCACATGATCCAAACACTATATTTGAATTACATTAGGTTTATATTTAAATACAACTGCCAGCTCTCCAGCCTTCGACCACCCAGACGAAGCCTACTTTCCACATTTGGTCATGAGAAATTTCCCACTTTACTAAGTCCCTTAGCCCCTGTTTGGAAGCAGTTTTACCTTCAAGTGCACAAGGATTGATATATTCAGCATGTCCTCCATACATACAGAGCATCGCTTCAGTATACCACTGTACTTCAATCTACTTTGTCAATCTTTTTTTTCCCCCAGTTTCTACAGCAGTGGTTTTCATATGTTAGTGCACAAGAATAGTGCATAAGAATCAAGAATCATCTCGGGATCTTGGGGACCTATCCTCAGAAATTCTGATTTCATAATTCCATGGTAGGCCCAAGGAATCTGTATTTTTAACAAGATTTCACAAATGATTTTCATATAAGGAGAGTCTATGCAGTCCACAGTTTGAGAAGCACTGGTCTGGAGGAAGAGATTTTCCTTTCTAAACTCTGCACTTGAATTGTGAAGCCCATTCTTCCAATGGTCTCTGAAACTCACTTGGGTATTTATCTTGTCATATCCACCATTTTCATAAACTTTTTATATAAAATTGCTGTTTCTAATATTAAAACAAAAGAAGAAAAGCCTCTACTATCTCCTTCTACTACTGTGCAACCTCTTTACTTCCTATTGCTGCCTGACCCCTGGAACACATTCTCTCATTCTCCTTTACTATCCTAAATTTGAAATTTCTTGCTACACATGTTGACCATTTTCAATTCCCTTTTTCTCCTTAATCTCTGCCATATTTGGTTCTGTCGATCAGCCTCTGCTTTGAAAGTCTCTCCCTTGACCAGTTAACACTGCCTTCTAGTGGCTCTTTTTCTTCCTGTTACCCCCACTCCTCGCTTTTATTAAAATCAGCCATCAGGGTACTCATTCTCCCCCCTCCCTTGAATTCATGAGACAGAAACAACTCCCTAAATTCTGGGTTTCAGCAGGCAGTCAGAGTAGAGCTGTTAAATTTCAGGAGATAATTTAGACATAGAAAGATATAACAAAAGTATAAAATGTTTGTCTAACAGTTTATGGTTCAACAATGTGTTAAGACTTTGATTTTTAGTAATTTCTTTTGCGGAAAGCTTTAGAAATTAGAGTTTCTTCTTTACTGACCATTTTATTTACCCAAATGGGACACCAAAACATACAAGCCCCCAAATAATTTCCAAATTGATATAGCAGTCGTAGAAATGAACATCTTTCTTCTGGTTTTCTTAGGGTGGCAGGGCAGAGGAGAGGACCAAGTAACTGTGGAGACCCCCCTAATATGGACCTTTTAATTTCACAGTGATCAGAAAGGGGGTTCCTTTTCAATGCTTGCTTCCTTGAGAGCCCAGAATATACTTGCTCTGACCAAAAGTGGAAAGCATGATATAAGAAATTGGGTATTCTTAACCTAGCAATTAGTATAGTCCTTCCCCTCTTTTTTTTCTCAATTTAACATTTAACTTTAAATGATAGTAGCATAGAGATGGGGAACAAAATATCACATATGACTAATGAAAAGAATATGGCATTGGGTTACATGAATACTAGGTAGAGCTGCCTTTAAGAGCACAGGAAATTTTAAAATGTTCTTTTATTAAACGTGAGTATGAAAAGAAATAACATGGTTTGGTCATTTGTGAGCAGGAAAAATTTTCCTGACAACATCAATATAGATGAAATAAGGCCTCCATGAATTTCCACAGGCATTTTATTATCACAGTCCGTTTCGCTGGTGTCTCTTTGGAGTAATTAGATACCTGAGTTCAAATCTGAGTAAGGTACTTATATTATTGAGGGCTAGAAAATGGATTAGAGAAATTTAAGACAGTTTGTGCTTAAAGATTCAGAAATAAAGGTTGTACAGACAAAATGAAGCCTTAACTATAACAAGGAATGGTTTACCAATAGGAATCAGCTAACATGTTTCATTCTTTTGACAGATGGCCAGAGGCTTTTTCTCCAGAATTAATAATGTCTAAAATAAATCTCTCAATGATATCCTTCAAAGAAACATGCTAAAGTGATAAAGTCTTCAAGTCATCCTTAGTAACTTGTTTGCTTTCCCCCCATAAATTTTTCAATGAGTAATAACAAAAGTGATATGCTTAATATCAAAAGCACTATAGCAATCTTTTACTTTTTCAATCCTAAAAATTATCATTTTAAATAACTTTTACATTTTCATTTTGAGTATGTTCCCTGAACTATTTGCTCATAATGATAAACTGCGTCTACTGGGACATAAATTTTGATGATCATTTTGAGAAAGCAGCCTGCTGGGCTGCTGCTTTCTCTGACAATGGTTGTTATCAATCCAGTGGAAACATCTGGATTTTAGAATGGTAGAATCTATTTTTTTCCTATATAGAATTTTAGAGCTGGGAAAATCACATTTTATATATGTGAAAACTGAATCCCAGAGAGAGTAAATAACTTATCCAGAGTCTTATAGTTAATTAATGGCAGAATTCAAGGGGCTAAAACTCAAGTCTCTTGACTGTCTGTCCGGTTGAATACTTGTCGATTGAAGTAATCCCAGAGCTGGGTCATTTTCCTATGACAGTTTTGCTAGATTACACAAATATCACGCCAGTTTTAAGGAGACTATAATTTCATTCTTCTATGTTGCATATGTTCAATAGTTTTTCTGTTTAGCTCACATTTGTCACAGTGATAAAAATGTTTTCAAACAGGATTAAACAAAGTTTGTGGATATGAAAAATGTGCTTTATGTAAGGCATAGTGAACTTCTAAGAATTTGCCAATGTTCCTAACATTTTGTGTATAAATTGGCATCTACTCACGCCTCGTATAGGTTTTGCTAAAATAGCAAAATAGGCTGCTAGGCTAAAAGTTCAAGCGGTGATAAAATTCAAGAAACCATGTTTCGTGGTGAACAAGAACGAAATGCCCGTATTTAAAGGTAAGGAAACAGTGCTTGAGGATGAATATGGAAGCCTTAGGATTTGGTCCTTGAACATGTTATATTTTGTTTCCTATGATGCCACATTTAGGCTTAAGTCACAGAAAACATCAATTTGTGCCATGAAAAGGTATTCAGCTAATGCAAAGATTAACTTTAAAAAAACAAAAGAACACGCTCTAGTTTTTTTTAAAAAAAATGGTGCTCTTTTAATGGCATGATTTTGCTTTGTTATTCATATTTAGAGAAAATATTTCTTCTTAAGTGTTGCTATAACACAAATAAGCCATCTAGCCTTTGTATCCAACATCTAATCATCATTGCTGTATGCTAAACTTTCTGCCTGGTGAGCATTTAAAAGATAGATGTTAAAAGAGTACTTCAATTACAAATAAATTAACTTATTTCTATTTTAATTATCTTTCTAATTACATCATGAATATGCCCTAGCATTATGTAACTATATGCACTTTACAGTTTTATGACAATTATCTACATGACTATTTAATATCCATACCACTGTTTCTTTTTTATAAATGACTATACTCAGTCCCGGGAGACTGTGACATCTATGCTTTTGGTAAATGACATTTAGGTTCTTCCCATGTAAATTTTAAGGGAATAAAGCAGACTGAAAATACTGTTTAAGACAGCTGAATCCTTGCCTATTTTCTCAAGAAGATTGACCGGTATTTTTCTACTTTTTTTCAGGATCCAACTGGAATATTCTCACTAGATAAAACCATTGGCCTTGGTACTTACGGCAGAATCTATTTGGTAAGTGGAGTTAGATTATTTATTTGTTATTCATTTTCTAATGATAATTATGAGTCAGACGTCCACACTGCCAATCAAATAATGCCAAAACATGGCATTTCACTTTAAGATATGAATCAAATTAAGATAGCTCAGTGACATCTGTAAGAATTATTGTTTATTATTACAAAGGGAATGGATTGGTGAATCTATAGTGAACCAACCAACCAAACATAAGATGTAAAAATTATTAGCAGAAAATTAATAAAGTCATCAATGGAAAAGGGAAATAATTCAAATAAGATATACCCAAAGAAAAATATCACTTGTTTTACATTATACACCCACACCATTCTAATTATTCACATTCAATTGAAAACTGAATATTATAAAAAGGAAATTTTTCATAACATGCTATATCATAGTGTGTACCTGAGTGTGCACATGTATACTATAAAGTTTGCTGAAGAATCTAACAAGAAAAATTCTGTATTTATTTCATCATTACTTATTGAGCACTAAGTATGTGCCAGGCCCTGTGATAGTCTCTGGAAATAAAGTGATGAACAAAACAGACAAGGTCCCTGCTCTTCCAGGGCTTATGGCCTAGAAATGCGCAAGTAATTAAGTATTTGTATGTTGAGGGGGGGGTTGGGAGAGTAACATACATTACATAAGTAAGCACATAAATAACTGTATATGGTTGTCCTTCAGTATCCCTGGATTCCGCATCTGTGGATTCAACCAACCTCGGATCAAAAATATTCAAAAAAAAAATTGTGTCTGTCCTGAACACATACAGACATTTTCTGTCATTATTCCCTAAACAATACAGGATAAAAACTATTTACATAGCATTTACATTGTATTAGATATTATAAGTAATTTAGAGATCATTCATCTAGAGATCATTTAAGGTACACAGGAGAACGTGCATAAGTTATATGAAAATACTATGCCATTTTATATCAGAGACTTGAGAAAACCCTGATTTTGGTATCTGAGGGAGGTCCCGAAACCATCCCCCACGTATACTGAGGGATGACTGTAATTGCAATTGTAATACATGACCTGTAAGAAATTCTTAGTGATATAAAGCATAAAACAAGGGAGCTTAATTTAGATTGAAGGGTCAGTGTTGACTTCCCACTCCCTGGAAATTGATAGTTAAACTGATACCCGGAGGATAAATACGAGGTAACCAAGCAGAGGGTGGTTGTGGAGGATGATGTTAATGCATTCTAGGTAGAGGCAGTGGCAGTGTTAAGGACTGGCTTGGGGTTGGAAGTGCTTTGGTAGTCCTATCTATCACCTGGATCAGGCACCCTTCTCCCACTCTCTAAAACAGGGAATTGACATTTTTGCAATCTTGTTTAAGGTTCTATAAAAACGCAGTGTTCCACTTTCCCAGGCCTGTCCTTCCAGAGGCCGATCCTCACTATAGACTGATCGTACGTAGGTCCTCTACGTATGGGTTGTGTAGAGGTGTCTTGGTATAGGCCCAAAGGAAGGGGCTTCTTTCTAGTTCGGAAAAGAGCGCCCTCTGCTTGCCAGGCCTTGCACCTTTGGGGCTACATCTGCTCCATCTACATTCCTTTCTTACTCAACTACCCAGGTTGGAGTGGGGAGATGCTTTTTAAACTTTGCACAAAAGCACCTAGAGTTTACAAGATGAGTAGTAGAAATAGCATATGGACAGGTCTTAAAAGCAGAAAGAACCTTGGCGACTATAGGAAACAGAGAGAATGCCAGTATTCGTGACAAAAGTTGTTTCAAACTATTTTGACCTTACCCATTAACAGGACCAATAAGCTATAGACAGTGACATGGTACAGACCCAAGTATATGGTTTATGCTACCTCATTTGCATCCCACACTGAATGATTAGTTGACATTTGTGTGATCTAGGTCAGTTTTCATACCTTATACCTGTACCTTTTGCACAGACAGAAGGTTTATGGTACATTTATGATTTCGGTGTCTCTCTATATATTTTAACTCCTGAGGGGTGTGTGCGTAAATGTGTGCGGGTGGGTGGGTGGGTGGTGTATACTTCTTCTGATTCGAAGGGTGTAGAGCCTTTTCCACCACTAAATGTTAGAAATAAAAATCTCGGAGTCATATAAGGTAAGAAGCAACGGTAAGACTAGGCAACACAGTCTGAGGGATGACTGTAACCATCTTTCGATGGTTTCTCATAATCGTTCATCAGACAGAAGAAAGATGCCATCAAAATGAGAAAAGTCAAGAGAGTAAAAAGGTAAGTGTTGCATGATAATTTCCTTTTTTAAAACTCAGGGTTTCTTGAGCTAAAGTATATATTTGGTAAAATTCACTCTTTTAAGTATATAGCTTTATGAGTTTGGACAAATGAATACAGTCATGTAACTACCCCCACAATCAATATTTTCAGTATACATATTAAATTAATTATAGTCTATATTCAAGGGATATTCTACCTCTTCACTGTGTGGTGTCCCAACTGGCATTGCTGTGGTGGTGTTTGTCGTACGTTTTGCTTTTACATGTGATATCAATCCACGGTACTACTATATTTTTCCTATATTCACTATACTCACTCTTTTCCCTATACTCATTACTACTGTTTTTTATTTAGATAATCAATTATCTTTTGGAGCAATTAAAAATAAGAAAAATGTCCTATATTTATCTTCATTTTAGCCATTTCTGGAATCTTCATTTCTTTGCACAGATGCACATTTCTATTAATATATGGCATGAAGAGCTTAAGCCTGAAGAACTTCCTCTAACATTTCTTATTGTTCAGGGCTACTGGTAGTGAATTCTCTGCATTTGTGTGAAAAGTCTTTATTTATCCTTTATGTTTGAAAGATATTTACCCTGGGTATAGAATTATGAGTTGACAGTTATTTTTTTCTTTCAGCAGTATAAAGATGCCCCTCTTCTGGTTTGCATAGTTTCTATAGTCTGCTATAATTTTTATCTTTACTCCACTGTATTTTTTTTCTGGCTGACTTTAAGATTTTTTTTTTCTTTGTGTTTGTTTTTCACCAGTTTAGATGTGAAATGTCTGGAGTTTAGTCATCTCTGAGGCTGGTTATATTGATTGCTTTTTTTTCTTGAGAGTGTTTTCTTTTTTTTTTTTCCCTTGCTTTTTTATACATCTCAAAATTTTTGTTTGAATGCCAGACACAGTATGTAGAATAGTAGAGAGTGAAGTAGACAGCATTTATGCCTTTAAAGGGGCACACTTGTTCAGCTAGGTTGTTAATGTGGGAGTTTGAATCAATCTAATAAGGAGACAGACTGTATTCGGGTTATGTTGTTGCTATGGTTACCCTCCATTCACTACCAGCTTCAGATCCCTCTGTTACCTTGTGCATAGTGTGGGGGTTGGTTTTCTGGAAGGTTTTTCTCAATATCCCTGCTGTACCCTCAGCTTTAGATCTTCCCTGTGCATCTGTGCCTCAGAGAGGTTCTCTCTCCATGCTCTTACCCTCCCCTAGAGGGGCACTGCTGTTGCTTCTTACTGAGTGCCTGTTAGCCTGGTGGTGTGGGCAGGGGGAGTTTTCTGTTTTCCTGCTTCAGCCTCAGGCTTAGCAGATCCTGTGCCTCTGGATCATGGGAGTGGGACTTTCTTAGTAATCCTGCCTATCTCCTAGTGGTAGGATACTTCTAATCATTTGGACCCAGAACCAGTTCTTGCCCTTCCTCCAGAAATAGATGACTTTATTTTTTTTACCTTTCACTAGCTGCAGTAGGTCTTCATCTGCACCTTGGGGCGGGGAACGGCTTGCTGCCTTCCCCCTAGGGCTTAAGGCTTTTATTCCTAAGAGGGAAAGGAACTAGAACTGGTTTTGTGCCTTTTCCACTGTGGTGGCTTCTCTTGTCCATAGGTCTGTACCATAAATCTGTGGGGAAGAGCCTGCAAGTGTGTATAAATTCTTCTTTTGTCTGTGGCTCCCAAGGGTTCTGTATTCTCATGCTTGGCCACATTTGGTCTTTAGCAATTCATTAAAAAAATTTAGCTGTATTCTTTATACCTACTTCTATGGTGACCCTGTCTTCCCCCTGCAGCCACAGGTGAGCTAGTGCTCATGTCCCATCTCTCCTTGTAGGTGCTTGTCTTTCTTGAGACTTCAGCCTAGTTGGTTGCCTTGAGACTTCCCTCCAGATTCAAGAAAAGTTACGATTTTATAGATTATTCAGCTTTTTCTTGTTGTTAGGATAGGAGTGGCACTTTCTAGCTTTCATGTCCTCATCAGAAGTGAGAAGTCCATGTTAATTCCTGTTAACTGAATCTCCATGAAGCATCTACCATATGTTCTGTCCTGTACACATTTATAATTTCTAAGAATTTTGTATCTATTCATATCCAGAGATAGAGAACACTTTCTGTCATAAGATCTTTAAAGTACAAACCTCTGTATTACAGAATGTTGATGCTTATAGAAGCTTTATATACACCAGAAAGATTTTTCTCTGCCACTCATTGACTTGACCTCTTTTTATTCTGCTTCAAATTAATTTCCTCCTGTAAAAAGGTTTGGGATAGTCGTGCTGTACATTGATACCACCCTCATGGGAAACGATCTGGAGTATGTAATAAATGTTTTAAAAATGTTCATGCTCTTTATACCAATAATTCCACCTTTGGAAATCTACAGTAAACATCCCAAAATGCAGAAAAAATATGTAGCTATTCATTGAAGCAGAAAGGTAGCATGTTGTGCTGAAAAGAGGACCTGCTTTGAACCAGGCAGAACTGATTCAATGCTTACTTGGCCATTAATTGCCTATAACCTCGAGCAAGTCACTTAACCTCTGAGTATAAATTTCCTTATTTATAAAATGGAATTAACAATAACTACCTTGCAAGGTTTGACAAAATTTAGAAACTATATATAAAAAACACTTATTATTGTGGCCATTACTTTTAAAAAGAAAAATTTAGCAACACCCTAAATAATAAAAAAGTAAGATGGAAATAAATTATTATACCTTATACCAAGTCAATATATCATTGCTCTGTAAAGCAA